GGTGCCGAGGGGCAAACACCGTGGGCGCGCAGGGGGCGGAGCGGGTAGGGCAGAGCGCGGTGGTGGGTGCGTGTGGGAGGAGCACGGAAGGAGGGGCGCGGAGGGGTGTGGCGTCCGTCTTGGCGCCCGCCCCCTGGCCTCCAGGAGTCAGAGGTTAAGGGGTGCTTGCCGCGCTGGGATGCCGAAGAAGGTTCCGTATTCACGCCTGCATGCTTCTTCCATGGGTTACATGAAATCTTTTTTTGTTTATCTGATATTGTCTTCATAAGGGGAGGCGGTATGAGCTTCTGAAATTGGGGGAATCTTCTGCTACAACCCAGGTCCTTCTATGAAAGGAAACTGAAGCCCAGAGAAAGGAGGCAAGCTGCCCAAGTTTGGGGAACTGGTACTCAGGTTCTGTCATGGCTTTTTCATCAGCAATCGCTGTGCTTATTTGCAGCTTGTCTCGTGTTACCCTCAGAGAGAATCCTGGCTTTAAAAGGATACTGGGAGTGCTTTGGGACTGTAGTTAAAGACACAAAGAACAAAAGCAATTACGTAAGTAATTGAGGCCTGAGACTGACTCCTTTTGACTGTCCCGTGGGAATGTTAGCGCTGGAGAGGCTCTAGATCTAACCAGCTGTCCTGAACACCAGCACACCTCTACCTACATTACACAGACCCAGAAATCTTTCATTCTGTCAAGCTGAGACCAGTAGCTATTCTGATGGTCCAGTACGGTAAACACGTGAGTGTATGGAACACGTTACACCTTTGTCTAATACTTGTCCGAAACTAACAATAATAAGCCTGAGTTGAGTTCTTCTTGTCTCAGGTACCATGGTAGTTGTTTCATAGACTCCTCACCTTTTCTTCACATTAGCTCCATTTTACAGCGGGGCAACTGACTGTTAGGAGAAATTAAGGAACTTGCACAAAGTCACAGGTCAGAGAAGAAACTAGATTGGAGCCAAACCCAGCAAGTAAACTATTCTTTTCCACTGTTATCTGCCTTCCACCAAAACTGACAAAGCTTCCAGTTAAGTGTGGTCAGAAAAAGTCAGGCGTTCACATTAAATCTACCCTTTTCGAAGAGACTATTAAAAATAATCTTTCCATGATATTGGTAACTTTTGACCTCAAAATATCTACTAGAGATTATGTAGAACAGTATTGGTATTACAGTCAGTCTGGCTTATAGCAGGATCCTTAACTCAGTATGGTTGACATTTTTGACTGATAATTCTTTGTTGTGGGGCCTGTTCTGTACATAAAAGACTGAAACCAGCACCCATGGTCTCTACCCATTAAATACCAGGTATATCCATACCTCTAGTTGTAGCAACTTAGAATGTCTCTAGACGTTATCAGATTTCTCCTGAGAGAAACTAGTGCTTTAGATGTAGCTTCTACCCCAGCGTTTAACCTTACGCGTTCTATAGTTAGCTACTACCACTTAGTACACTGTGGGAGATCTTGTAAGACATTGCCATTTAGGATGAGTCCAAACAGTGTGATGATCGTCACCCCTATTAAGCATTAGGAGCTGTGCATCTAAGGAAAGGAAACAGCAGGTCACCTGAGGTCAGCTAGAGATCTCAAGGTGACAGGGAATGTGTGTACAGCTCCAGGAGAATTTTCAACTGCATCCCTCTAGCGCTTTAATATTTAAATATCTACCACTAAGATGGACTGAATGATTAGTGAAATGAAGTAAAATGAAAATATGCTTCTTAGTCCAAAAGTAGGGGAAACATGTCTTTAAAGATACTAAGATATAAAATGATTCTTTTTTTTTTTTTTTTTTGCATTTTCACTCTTCACCACAATGGTGTCTTTATTTGCTCTGTAATGTCACACTCTAGTCAGCACAGAGATACTTGAACAGTGAGCACTGACCATCACAATTCGTATGTTGCTAAGTTCCTCCTCTTGCTACACACTGGACCAACACTATTGTGTCTTGTGGGTATCAACCCCGATAGAATGGTCAGGGTCCCAACCACCTGCAGATGGGTGAACCCCAGAAGACTACAACTTCCCACTCATGGTATACTTGTTACCTAAATCCTCCAAACACACCAGGATGCTGCCGCGGAGAATGGGGAAAGGACACGGAATGTGGGCCCCACCCCAAACCTCTTGCTTCTGTATACAGGCCCCTTCCATGGTGGACAGTAGACGAGGCAGTTGGGAAAGCCAAGTCCAAAACGCAACTCACAGGGGGCAAAAGGCAAAATTACACATGACAAGCCACATCAACAAGTTCTGTTGTTCCAACAGACAAGCAAAACAAATTCAAAGACTACATTATAACTTTCATGATGGCAACTACAAAGCATTAAGCCACAAGGGTAAGAGCCTAGATGATCAGCTTGTCTGCATTTTCATGAAGCTAGTCCCACCTGCTGCTCAGAGGACATCTAGAAACCAAGAAAACTAAAATGTGTATCATTTAAACAAGAAATTCATTTGCCAATATTTTTTCTAACCCTCCCATCCAAGGTAAAATAGCGGTATGTATTATCCCCAAGCTAAAATAGCGGTATGTATTAAAGAGCAGATCTTGTCTTCTTCCTAGGCCAATTTCTTCAGTACAGGGGGAAGATGGGGAAAGGAAAAAACAGACTTCAGTCAATCTGGGCTTTATATATGAAAATGAATATTGTTAAAATGATTGGTTAGTATATCTGTATTTATCAACATTTTTGCTGTTGATTGCTTAATAAAGTATTCAAAAAACTGCGGGATCTACCTGAGATGCCAGCAAGTGGGAGAGGTGGAATAGCCAACACTTAGAGCGTATTTGGCATGAATTCTGAAAAATAAAGTCATTTTCTGTGTGTAGAGTTACAAAGTAGGATCGTTCATGTAAAATATGATTCAGCAGTATAATAAATGGACACCCACATTAACCAAAGTAGAATGCATCAGAAACTCTATCAGTACATTCACTGAATAAAAGTTAAGTGATACTGTCAGGATAAACTCAAGTGAATGTAATAACTTGAATAATTTGAAATGAGGTAATTATTTTAGTTGTGTTGATATACTGTATTGATGACTTGGTGACCATCATGTAATTAATTGCTTTGATTGCCCAAAGACACACACTGTTTTGTGCAAATGAGTAATAATCATCTGATTAGCATTAATTCAGACTGGGATATTATTCAAAATTATTAAATAGAATTAATTATACATTCAAATTCAAATCTTCCCCCAAAATATATGCCACAGGACTTTATGGAGTTCATTTTCTTGACTAACCATAAATGTTTAGCTTCCACCCTTGTCTTTGCTATGACTTCTTTTTTTCTCTCCCATTTCTAATTCAAATTATCTTTATAAATCACATTAAATTACTAGAGCTCGTTTTCTCGAAACATTTTATTTATCTTCTGTCTGCCTAAAGTGCAGATTGACTTAAAAGCTGTCTAGCAGGTCCTGAGGGTCCTTTCACATTGATGCACCATTAAATTTAGATATGACCTCATCAAGATGCAACCTAATTAACAAAATATATTTTAAGTTAGTTTGTGGTTATGTGATTGTTCTAAAAATGTGTTTGATGTGTGATGTGTGTTTATGACACTATTTTAAAGTGCAAAGCATTTGAGGCACCTGCATTAATTTTCTCTCAAGACGTAATAGAAAAAAATTATGTGGGCTCAAGCACTTCCTTTTTAGACTTCTGGCTTCTCCCCCCAGCAATGTACTTTGTCAGTCGGCTTGTTCTGCTCCCCACTCTGTCTCTGATGAATCCTCTCACTGCCCCTGCACCTCTGGACTTAACCCCAGCTCTGAATGCATAAATAAATAAATCTTTAAAAAAAAAAAAAGACAAAGGTTTGTGTATTAAACTCCAGAAAGTCATATTACTTCACAATGGATTTAAAAATAGTCATTAATGATATTGTAATGTCATCTCTTCGATTGCCTAAGGCAAGTGATCTAATTGCAGTACAATTTTGTCAGAAAACTCTGGTGCACTCTTGTAGAAAATAAATTTCTATAATTCTGAATTGCATTGATCTGTACTCTATAATTCTGTAAAGAATTGTGTTGATTCTAGGATTAAAAGTAATATCTAATCATTCAAATGACCTAGTTAGTAAAATCTCACTCAGTATTCCCTGCAACAGAGTAGTAATATATTGAAAAGACAACTTTTCTCCCAGAGGCTGGACACCTCTCGTCCACGCTTGGCCCTGTCATTGATAGAAAACACTACCACACAGAGTGGATAAAAGCGGAACAGTGGACGTGGTGAGCATCCTCCAAGCCTCAATTCTCCTGGGAAGAAGCACAAGCTGAGAGATAACCCCACCAACTTGTATTCTGAAAAATGAGCACCCTGTCCACATGTACTAAGAGAAAAGACCTCCTTCTCTAGATAATGACTGCCTTGATTACCTGCTTCTTTGGATTTCTGAGGTCCTTTCCTTTTCTTTGAAATGCTTTAACACAATGTTTACAAGAGAAAAAAAAAGGTGGCTCCATTCTCTAAATTAGTCATTGGGGCTACTTTGCCTGAGGCCCTGCCAGGAAATAACAGCAGCACCAGGTACAGAACTGTAGTAGAAATAGCTATTTTCTTGCTTGTTTTTGTTGCTTCTTTGAAGATTTTGATTAATCTTACTGGAATTAATAATTAATAATGTGTATAGAGTTAGGTGCAATTCCATTCACCATTAATCTCCTTGATAAAAAAAAAAA